CGCTGTGTGCAATCTCCACTCCTTCCGAACGGACAAATAACGCTGTTATCTGTGCATTGCACGAGCGGATTTGGCTAATGATATTGCCTTGATAAATGTACCAGCAGACAATATCAAACGCCTTTTGATCCGCAACAGACTCTATGATCGTGCATGCGCGACGGATAACAGCGTTATTTGTCCGTTCGGAAGGAGTGGAGATTGCACACAGCGAGGGACTGTATACCAACTTCAGTGTTCAGCCTGTGACGAAATATATATTGGTGAGACAGGAAGAATGCTGGGCATACGCGTCAGAGAACATCTAGGAGGTAAAAGGGGAGGAAGCCCATTCAAGCCACTTTGGAGGCATCGATTAGAAGAGCACCAAGGCGAAGATTTCGATATCAAATGCAAAATCCTAGCCTACGAGAACGAGATCGGTGCTAGAAAGATATTGGAAGCGTTGTATATCCGCGAGCGAAATCCTAAGCTGAACAACCGGAGTGAGTGCATTGCCATAACGAGTGAACTTCTGCCATTCATTCCCTTTTGTGGGCTTTGAGATCACCGCGCAATTCTTATCGCACGACCGTCAATGGTGTCTCATTGTTCCCTTGTTGTTCACGAAATAGAGTGGGAAGACAACGCTGGTGGAACCGCAGAAGGTTGGTTTCTTGGCAGGGATGTTTCGGTGTTTGAGTTTCTGGGAATAGTTGGAATTGGCCTGGTGCGTTTGGGCGCTTGGTAGGGTAAACCATAGATCAGGAGCTTCGAACTACTTTCAGGTCCCTGAAGACGACGAGTTAGTCGAAAAGCGGCCTAATAAACGGTTCCATCATAACAAACCTGTACGGCAAAGCATTCTGAAATATTATATGGCATGCCCAGGTTTCAAGAATACCGAACTTGGAAATTAGGTCGGTTAAGTTTTATTGCAAATGATATTGAACAAGGAGGATTTTTCATTAAGTAACAGACCTTGCTGGGTAGCGGTCGTAATCTAATAGCAAGAAATGAACAAATTCCTCATCTGCTTATCGTACTGCAGCTAATGGATCTCTATCACTGCACTTTTACCACTCACTTTTATCACCCTACTCTAGCATCCCTTCTTTCGAATGAAACATCAAACAGAACGGTCAAAGCTACATCGTAAATACCGAAGATGTTAGGATTTTGATCGGTAGGTGGCCTCTTTTAGTCCCTTATCTTATCTGATCAATTATTATCAGTACCTGCCACCGAGTACCTTCGATCCGGTCATATCCTACATCACTCGTCAAAATGCCGAGGTTCCGCTGTCGATACGAAAAGTGTAACCCTACCAAGTTCTAACGCTATACGTCCACGTAAAGGGAGTTATGAATTTGCGGCCCAAAATTTCTACGCTTCGCCCCCCTGTGAGCGCAGTCCGGTCCCGTCACCCACTATGAGTATTGCCATCCTGCCCTTGTACTCCTACCAAGTTTCAACGCTCTAGGTCCACGGGGAGAGGAGATATGAATTTCCGGTCGGACGCACACACCGACACACACAAACACATACACAAACAAACCGACAAACCATTAAGACATGCTTAGCGAAACATTCCTCTCATTTATAAAGCAGAAACTTGGTGTGTCGGTTTGTATGTTTGTTGGTCTGTCCGTCCCCGAAACTTATGATTACGATAAAGGCAGCGATATGGATAACTCAGCTCTATCCTACATTCCTCTGCATTCTTCACGTGAA